GGCCTGATTTTTTTCATGTCAAGGGTGTTACCTTTCGTATTCATTATTGTTAGAAACCGTTGCAATTTACATAAAGCTGAGCAATCCAAACACCATGCTTTTCATAATTTGATTGCCCTAGGGAACTGCTATCTCCCCGTTTTCATTTATTTTTTTTTTTTTGGGGTGTGTTGTTTGCGTCTTTAAATAACTGCAGATACAGCTGTAAGTTACACCATCAACCTGAATACAAATGTTACTATAGTAAATGGCTTATTTTTTTTAATTAGGCCATTTAATAGCAACTAGATAAGAATACACTGCCGTTTCGCTTTTCAAAAAAGGACATGGCAACATAATACTTATCATTGAGAATATCTGATCTCTGAATGATGATCTCATTTTCAAACTTTGCCTTGCAAGAAAGTATTTAAGCTCAATTTTTTTCCTGCCTTTGTGTCCCCATATTTTTATAGGGAAAGCTTCAGTTTTTCGAACCTTTGGGTGACCATTCGCCGTCAATGCTTTGTCACCAATATGTTTTGATATCATTATTCTCATTCATATTTGTATTTATGTTCGGCTTTTTTATTATGTTCATACTTTTACGTCAAAGTCTATTTTCCTCTCCTTTCCTTTGACTTACATGTTCTTTTCATAAGCCTCCTTGCAACTCAAAGCTGCAAGAACAAAAGTATGGAAACAGTTTGAAAAGTTTCCGATGATTATAATCTACTTATTTATGACTTAGAGTTGTAAACATGACAAATGAACTATTTTGGTAGTTTGAATAATGGACTGCATAACAGACACAGCTTCAGTCCCATATGGATGAAGGGCAATCCCTTGTTATCAGTGTGGGAAGCGTGTTGAAATTCCTCTGTTTGTTTCCTTCATGTTATACTGCTCTTTAAAATACATTTCTCTGATGCCTATAATGAAATAACTTCCCACCAGCAATTAAGGACTTGTCATTATTTTTCGCCTGGGATAAGGGAGGCGGGGCTGGTGGGGGCTGGAGGATTTTGGTTTGTCACGATAGCAGTCACCTCATCCTCCCATTAGGCTCTGTTATATTCTCTTGACACCCTTGGAGAAACGAGCAAAGATTTTTTTGAAATCTTTATAGAAGTAGCACTGCTAACATATTTAGACTTCCTTTGTGTTCAGTTTTCAAAATCATAGTTTTCAAAAACGAGCATAATTTGGAAAAAAATGGGCCACGTTAATACCATAATACACTACTTCTTCGGGAAATATCCAACCCTGTTTGTAACGACTGATCCCCTTCCGTTGGCCGTGAAAAGCATGTGATGCCTGTAAACTCCTCCACCACCTTACCCGCTGGTATATGGCAATCCTCTCCATAATATCCTGGGCGACAAATGCATTGGTAAGATCCCTTGCTATTTTTGCACTCGTGAGTGGGCTTACAATGGTGTGTAGCCTCACTGCACTCGTCAATATCTGAAAATAAATTCAGAGCTTCAGCACTGTGTCAAGATCAGTTCGATAATTGCGCGCTCGGTTCACTCGTGCCGAAGTATCCATCCCACGACTTATATCATGCAAAGATACAGAAACCAGACAATTTTGATTTATCTACATCTAGAAGGAGTGGCAAAAGTAGTTGGCACGCCTCCCCTGAGTTGATGGTCCACAAACCTTCATTCAGATAGAAATTTTGTAATTCTTGACAAAACGTTTCTGGATAGTTCCCCCTCCCCCCAGTAAAGCGTTCATGTTAGGTCCATAAGACGTCCCATACATATTATATCCCATAATACAAAGTACAATGTCCATAATGTTCCCTTAGTGAAGTACATTCTATATGCAAGGCTAAAAGATTAAGAAAAAAATATTCAAATGTTTAAACCAAACGTTTTCGACTGTTTGCCATCATCAGGGTTCGCAACCAGTCGAAAACGTTTGGTTTAAACATTTTGATAATTTTTTCCTAATCTTTTAGTCTTGTATATAGGATACACAAAGTACAATATTCATATATAATGTACAATATGATGTAGCTAATACCTTTTTACCTTGTTAACCCCAATCTGCCCTAAGCTAGCCATGTTCTACAGCGTTAACCCAAATCTACACTTATTAACCATGTTCTACCACGTTAACCCTCATTCACCCTAAGTTACCCATGTTCTACTACGTTAACCCCCATTTAACCCAAGCTCGCCATGTTCCCACGTCAACCCTAATCGACCCTGAGCTAGCCATGCTCTACCACGTTAACCCTCGTCGACCCTAAGCTGGCCATGTTCTATCACGTTAACCCACATCTACACTTAATTAACCATATCCTACCACTTTAACCCCCATCTACCCTAAGCTACCCATGTCCTACCATTTCAGCCCCCACTTAATCTTGATTCACCATGATCTACAACATTTATCCCCATCTACCATAAGTTAACCATGTCCTACCACGTTAGCCTCCATTTAACCTTGGCTATCTATGATCTACAACATTTACCCCCATCTACTCTAAGTTTCCATGTTCTACCGCGTTGACCCAATCTAACCTTAGCTAATCATATTCTACCGTGTTAACCCCCATTTAACCTAAGCTAGCCATGTTCTACCATGTTAACCCTCATCGACTCTAAGCTTGCCATGCTCTACCACGTTAACCCTCATCTACTCTGAGCTAACCTTCTTCTTCCACGTTAACCCCTATCTACTCTGAGCTAACTTTCTTCTTCCACGTTAACCCCCATCTACTATTAGTTAACCA